TTTGTTGTAGCGATGCGGATTGTGAATGGATAGTATATGCATCATTATACAAAGGGGATAAGCAGTTTGCCATCCAGAAATACAATCTCGTCCATACTTATGTACTCATTTTCATTCCAAAGAGTGTGTAGTAAATGACACTTTATAAGTAATATTTTTTGTACAATATACAGGCATTTCATACTGCAATATATGTCATAGTTTTGTGAAGTTTTAATCGGTGTATTATATTTTCATTCCAGAAAGGTGGTACTAATTGATCAATAACAGGTACTTCGTAGAAGAAAAAGCGGTATTATATCCGTCAAAACTAGTACCAATCAATGAGTTGAAGTGTATTAAGTAGTGTTTTTCCATTAGTCTGTTGAGTTCGTGACCAATTTGAGATTAGACTTAATTAACCAAATATCAAATATCATAGAAACTAATGTCAGAGTGATTATGGGTCGTATAAACATCATTTGCGACTGAAATTTGATTTTCTTATGTGTTAATTACAAGTGGTACTAGGGACATGATATCTAGTACTATCTCGCCATAAAGTGGTAGTGCATTACACTATGACTGGTACTACTTTTTGTAAATATTGAGCAGAATTGAAATAATCAATTTTTCTTCATAAAAGTTGGTACTAATCGATCAATGACAGGTACTGCATAGAAGAAAACAAGGTATTATTTCCGTAGAAACTGGTACTACTCAATGAGTTGAAGTGTATTAAGGTGTTTTTCAATTAGTGTGTCGAGTTCGTGACCAATTTGCGATTAAAATGAATTAACCAAATATCAAATCTCATATAAACTAATGTCAGAGTGATTATGGGTCGTATAAACATTATTTGCGATTGAAATGCGGTCTTCTTATGTGTTCATTACAAGTGGTACTAGGGACAGGATATCTGGTACTAGATCGTTATAATGTGGTACTGCCTTACACTATGACTGGTAGTACGTTTTGTAAATATTGAGGAGAATTGAAATAATCAATTTTTCTTCACAAAAGTTAGTACTAATCGATCAAAATCAGGTACCACGCAGAATAAGATGCGATACTATGTTTCCCAAAACTGGTACTATTATCAAAATCGCGATTTCTCTCATCCTTCATGTCTACCATAACATGTGGATCGTTCACAAGTGATTTGAATGAAAAAAGTGGAATTGAAAACATATAGGTAGAATTTGGAGTAGTCATGTATGATGATTTCTATGAGATGAAGTGTGTCATTCAATGAAATGAAGTCTAGTATAAGTGTTTTCTCATTCATGTATCGAGTTCATGACCAATTTGCGATTAAACTCTATCAAAAACATTTAAAATCTTATATAAACTAATGTCAGAGTGATCATGGGTCGTATAAACATCATTTGCAACCGAAATTCGGTCTTCTTATGTGTTCATTACAAGTGGTACTAGGGACAGGATATCTGGTACTAACTCTCCATAATGTGGTACTGACTTACACTATGACTGGTACTACTTTTTGTAAATGTTGAGCATAATTGAAATAATCAACTTTTCTTCAAAAAAGTAGGTACTATTCGATCAACATCAGGTACCATGCAGAATAAGATGCGGTACTATGTTGCCCAAAACTGGTACTATTATCAGAATCGCGATTTCTCTAATCCTTCATATCTACCATGACATGTGGATCGTTCACTGGATGAAAAAAAGTGGAATTGAAAACATATAGGTAGAATTTGAAGTAGTCATGTATGATGATTTCTATGAGATGAAGTGTGTCATTCAATGAAATGAAGTCTATTAGTAGTATTTCTCATTAGTGTATCGAGTTCATGACCAATTTGCACTTAAACTCAATCAAAAACATTGAAAATCTTATATAAACTAATGTCAGAGTGATCATGGGTCGTATAAACATCATTTGCGACCGAAATTCGGTACCACTAGGGACAGGATATCTGGTACTAACTCTCCATAATGTGGTATTGACTTACACTATGATTGGTATTACTTTTTGTAAATGTTGAGCAGAATTGAAATAATCAATTTTTCTTCACAAAAGTTGGTACTAATCGATCAAAATCAGGTACCACGCAGAATAAGATGCGGTACTATGTTTCCCAAAACCGGTACTATTATCAAAATCGCAATTTCTCTAATCCTTCATGTCTACCATGACACGTGGATCGTTCACACGTGATTTGGATGAAAAAAAGTGGAATTGAAAACATATAGGTAGAATTTGAAGTAGTCATGTATGATGATTTCTATGAGATGAAGTGTGTCATTCAATGAAATGAAGTCTATTAGTAGTATTTCTCATTAGTGTATCGAGTTCATGACTAATTTGCAATTAAACTCAATCAAAAACATTGAAAATCTTATATAAACTAATGTCAGAGTGATCACGGGTCGTATAAACATCATTTGCGACCGAAATTCGGTCTTCTTATGTGTTCATTACAAGTGGTACTAGGGACAGGATATCTGGTACTAACTCTCCATAATGTGGTATTGACTTACACTATGATTGGTACTACTTTTTGTAAATGTTGAGCAGAACTGAAATAATCAATTTTTCTTCACAAAAGTCGGTACTAATCGATCAAAATCAGGTACCACGCAGAATAAGATGCGGTACTATGTTTCCCAAAACCGGTACTATTATCAAAATCGCAATTTCTCTAATCCTTCATGTCTACCATGACATGTGGATCGTTCACACGTGATTTGGATGGAAAAAAGTGGAATTGAAAACATATAGGTAGAATTTGAAGTAGTCATGTATGATGATTTCTATGAGATGAAGTGTGTCATTAAATGAAATGAAGTCTATTAGTAGTATTTTCTCATTAGTGTATCGAGTTCATGACCAATTTGCGATTAAACTCAATCAAAAATATTGAAAATCTTATATAAGCTAATGTTAGAGTGATCATGGGTCGTATAAACATTATTTACGACCGAAATTCGGTGTTTTTATGTGTTCATTACGAGTGGTACTAAAGACCCAATATCATGTACTACAACAATATGAAACTGGTACTATCTTACTCTAGGTCTGGGACTACTTTTTGTAAATGTTGACCAAAATTGAACTAATTCATTCTCTTTCACAAAAGTAGGTAATAATCGATCAAAAACAGGTACCACGTAGAAGAAGATGCGGTACTATTTTTGCTAAAACATGTACTATTTTCATAATCGTAATTTCTCTAATCCTTCATGTCTACCATGCCACGTGGATTGTTCACGCATGATTTGGATTAAAAAAAGTGAAAGTTGAAACATATAGGTAGAATTTGGAGTAGTCATGTATGATGATTCTATGAGATGAAGTGTGTCATTCAATTAAATAAAGTGTAGTAGTAGTGTTTTCTCATTAGTGCGTTGAGTTCATGACCAATTTGCGATTAAACTTAATTAAAATCATTTTAAATCTCATATAAACTAATGTGAGAGTGATTATGTATCATATAAACATCATTTGCGACCGAAATTCAATGTTTTTGTGTGTTCATTACGAGTGGTACTAAAGATCCAATATCAGGTACTAAAATACCATAAAGTGGTATTATCATTCTCTAGGTCTGGTACTACTTTTTGTAAATGTTGACCAAAAATGAAATAATCCAATTTGATTGACCAAAAGTAGGTACTAATCGATAAAAAACAGGTACCACGTAGAAGAAAATGCGGTTCTATTTTTGCTGAAACAAGTACTATTTTCAGAATTGTGATTTTTTTAATCCTTCATGTCTACCATGACACGTGGATCGTTCACGCGTGATTTGAATGAAAAATAGTAGAAGTTAAAACATATAGGTAGAACTTGGAATAGTCATGTATGATGATTTAATGAGATGAAGTGTGTCATTCAATAAAATGAAGTGTATTAGTAGTGTTTTCTCACTAGTGTGTCGAGCTCATGACCATTTTATGATTAAACTCAATTAAAAACATTTTAAATCTCATATAAACTAATGTGAGAGTAGTTTTGGTCATATAAACATTATTCAACAAGATGAAGTGTAACAGTAGTGTTTTTTCACGTGTGTGTTGAGTTCATGACCAATTTGCGATTAAACTTAATTAAACATATTATAAATCTCATAGAAACTAATGTGAAAGTGATTATTAGTCATGTAAACATCATTTGAGACCAAAATTCGTTGTTTTTTTATGTTCGTCGGAGTTGGTACTGAAGAATCGATATCTGGTACTAGAACACCATAATTGCGGTACTATTTTACTCTAGGTCTAGTACTAATATTGAAAATGTTGACCAAATTTGAAGTAATCAATTTTTTGTTCTTTCTACAAAGTAGGTACTAATTGATCAATAAGTAGTACTAATGTGTTAGAGTCCAAATGTTCAGTCACAGAACTGGCATTCACATGCCTAACAAATGAATCAAGCTATGTTTTGAAAAAACATGCAAAACGCACTATGAAATTATACATGGACAAGGCATTTGTTTGAGGTATTCAGACAGAATCAGATCCTTTTCAATACGATTTCAAATATGCTTCTGAAATTCAATTTGCATAGTAATACGATTCCAAAAAGGAAACACAACCAATAAAAACATCAAAAAACAAATTTAGCACCAACATACTCAAACAAAAATTAAATAAAACTGAATACTCAATAAGTAGACAAACTACAAATCTCCATTCAAATTCCAACTGCCCCATCCTAAACCCACTCCAAAAAACAACACTGATGCTCAATAAGACATTATAAACCAAATCAGACCAAAACCATTTAAGAAAATATCAATTATCCCAAATTTTAATGCATGCATTAATCAAACACCGTTGGATCCAAATCCGACAGACCCTCTTTCGGTAGAATCAAGATCATCAACCTCACTGACCTCATCACCAAGTTTGTTAGTCTTATATAATAGATGGAGGCATAAGATAGTGTTATAATAGATGGAGGCATAACAAAGTCAACATATGCATATCCCTTGGGCTGTCCATACTCCACATTGCCGACAGAAACTGATCGGGAATCCACTTCTTTTCTATTTGCTGATTAGATGCAGATCTCCTTGAACGGAGCCCATCTCCTGCTCGACTTTCGCCTGCATTTTGCGGAGAGCGGCGGCCTCGTCCTCCATCTCCTTCAGCCTCTTCTTCATATCGTCCAGCTCGGCAGCTCCTCCCTCGGCTCCCGCCTCTGCTGCCGCCATCTCCACATCCCCCTCCATCAAACTCTCTCGTTCTCAGGTCGTCCTTTTGGAAAATCCCATAAACTTAATCCACAAATTTGTTCCAATATGAGTTCTTAGCACTTTTTATTTTTCCTGACAAAAATCCAAGAAATTTCATTCCTTTTGCCCATTTCAAAGAGTGAAAAAAATATTACGAATTCCTTGTTGATTTCAGCCGAAAATAGTAAGAGGAATCACAATCAAACAAAAATAAAAAATTAGAAGTGATTGAAACAAGAATCATGTACAGGTTCTTTATGAATTTAAATCTGTAAGTTATATATAATCTTCTAACGCAATGAAATGAGATGAATATCATACCAAAGCTTTTAGCTTTAATTCAATTACCACGCACCGATATCATCATCACACTAACAGAAAGCTACAGAAGCTATTCTGCAATCAACCTCACTGCATTATAAACTCTCCCAAAAACCACTTAGGTGTAATTTCCATGAAAGAATCTCAATGAATAACAAATTTGTACCTCAAATTGAAATAATTGTTCGGGTCCTTCGCTGCTTGCTCCCTCGAAAACTGCCAATTCAGAATTCAAGCTCCGTGGGGAGTACGCGCGGCTCAGCTTCCCGAACCTGCGAAACCCGGCACGGCTAAGATCGGGGGGCCTGACCTGGTGGACTCGCTGAGGCGAACCGTGGACGCCAAGATCCAGGTCATGTGGCAGAAGGTGAGGCGGAGAATAGGGCCCGGAGAACCGCGACGAAGAAATCAAAATGCGGCGACGATATTATAACTTCCGGCAAAAGCGAGGGGAAGGAGAAGGGCGCGGATGCAGAGGCGGAAGCGGCGGCGGGAACGCGGAGAGGGCGTTTCGGAAGAGGGGTTTTCTGGGCGGAGGAGAATCGTATTGGGGCTGTGTTTTTTTTTTTTCTTTTTCTGACATTTTTCCAATTTTNCAACTAAATATGAAAAAAAAAAAAAAAATAACTTTTAAATTAAGTAACTGGAAAAAAAAATATTATAATTTTTATTGTACGTTTTTTTAGGAATGAAGACCAAAGTATAAATGATAATTGAATAATAAAAAAAACATGTAATTTGAGAGTAATATATTGGAGTTTGTAACTAAAGTAAAACAAACTAGCCCATTGCCGTGGTCTTCCCTTTACTCGCAATCTATACTTATATTAAAGAGAGTCTTATTTACCAAATTTAGTAGCTAGAAAAATCAACAGCATTTATTGCAATTACTATTTCCGTATTATACAATTTTTATTTAATATTTATTTTTCTGTTACGATTTTAAAAAACTGATATGGTCAAATTCTCTCATCATCAATTACTTTCCATTAATTACAATTTTTTTATTTATTATTTTCTTAGCAAAAACGGACCAACATTAATTGATTTCCTTAAAATGTGGAAGTTGTTGCTTTATTTTTGTACAGAAAATCGGGCTTCATTATAGAAATTTGTTCAATTACACAATGAATTTTCTATGATATAATTATTTTTTATGGGAACTTTTTTTTTTAACAAAAAAATATGACATTTCAATAAGATTTTCGATTTTTTAAGACTGATCGTTATCATGCTATGAAATTGAACATTCCAATATATACCTTAACAAAATATACACGTGGTGTATACATCAGTTAATAGAAATATAGAATCCTCATATTTTTATATATATGTATGTAATTTTTCTATTACCAAATTTAATTGATAGTTGTTGTGTTATGGGTTTTTTCATAATTGTTACTTGGTTGTTGTGATATTTATTTTGGTTGGTGTCGAAAAAATTCTAATCTATATATATAATAAGAATAATCATTACAATGCAAATTAGAAAAATATTGATATTAGAAGAGATTGAGTTCATGGCTTTTCTTAAATCAAAGTTGTTTAATTAGTATACAAAATTAAATTTTAAAAAAATATATGTGTATATTCTGTACATTATTTATACACTATTTAATTTTAAATTTATTTACATATTTTAAATTGATTACTTATATAAATAATACCAACGTGCATTAAATATATTTCATTACATAAAATAAAAAGAACAAGAAGACGTGTAACTTGTATAACTTTATAAATAATAATGACGTTATATGGCAATAGAGTTTAATAATTAACTATTATATAGTGAATAAGAATAAGTAATATTGTTATTTTCTCTTATATCAAGAATAAATATATATAATAAAATTAAATTTATATTAGTATAAATGTGTTAGTGAGATAATATATTAATTATTTTACAAGTTAGCCTAATATGCTCATGTTTAATGTTCTGACTAATAAAACAACGTTGATTAAAAGATGTGAAAAATAGATTACAACCCTATTTTTTTAGACTTAACTGTAACGCCCCAAAACAGTAATAATATTCAGAACGGTTTCACTGCTCGACTATAAGTGAAATTCGTAATTTTCAGAAATTATCGAGTTATATTATTTATGCTAAATGCTCAAACATGATAAATTATTCTTTGAATAATTCTATCTCAAGTATAAGTTAAGATTAATCTATTAATTTGGGTTGGTAAATAATAGCAAGTCAATTCGAGAATTTATCGACTTCGAACCCTAGTTTGGTTCCGAGTAAACTTTCGGGTAAATCCCGAGCATAGCCAAGTATTGGTATTTTTATACTTAGAATATTTTTCTTAGTGTATAATAACATCAAAGTAAAGTATTGATCATTTTAACCGAGCCCTAGTCCTTACCCGAGCCGCTCGTGCCGAGTCCCGCACCCGCGCCTCGAGCCGCGCCCGGGAAAATGCCACCGAGCCCAAGGCTTGTCCTATGCCTTAGTATCATGTTGCAAAATTTTTCTAAGTGTTTGGTTTCAAGAGAAGTCCCATGATCGGCCCAAGGGAGCCTCCACGCGCGAGCAGCCCACTTCCCGCGCCCAGCCAGCAGGCCCTCGCGCCCAGCCCGCGCCCCTCGCGCCCAGGGCCCAGTGCCGCGCCCAGCAGGCCCAGCGACAGCCCTGCCAGCCCAACTTCATAAGCCCAAAACACCATTTTTCGGCCCACTTTCCTCATGGCCCAACTCAGGCGTGTAATTTGGACTTAATGTGGGACAAATTAAGCTTGAGTTACCCTAAGCAATGTTTAAGGAAAATCAATTAGTGCCTAAGCCAATGGAGCATGTGCCACCATTATTTTAATCAAGGAAGTTTGTCCTTGTCCCCCACCATTTTGGATGTCCGACCAGACCTGTTTTTTCTCAGTATAATACTCTTTAAATACCACCAAATGCTCTCCAAAAACCGTGCTAAAAGATGCCCCAACATCCTCAAGTCCCCATGCATAAGAGTGGGTGCCTAAGTCATGAGTTTTGGTCCCCTTTGACCTCACATAGCAAATTCCGCCCCATCTCCTATATAAACCTCATCTATATGATGCAATGAAGTTCTTAGACCCCCAATACCTCGAGAAATTACTTAGAGAAAAATCAGAAAAGTGAAAAGAACTCCGCTGGCACTTACCTCGCGCGCGCAGACCCGGGGAGAAGGAGGACCGCACCTCAGCCTTGTCCAGCCACATTCTCTCGAGGCTTAGCACTATATAAGTGTACCTTATATTTTTCTAAGTCTTTTGGAGGTGTTGGACCCGAGCAAATCGAACCCTAAGTCCAAGCCAACTCCCAAGGCCGTGTCTAAGCACACTTTGAGCCCTAGCACTAGTTCTTCATTTCTAACCGAGGTAAGCTCGGGATTTTTGAGTTCCTTAATTATTTTATGATGTTTTAAGATTTTTCATGAAGAAAAACCGAGCAATGCATGCATTTATTTGTGAGTTATGAATTTTTTAAATTAAATGACCGTAAAAATAAAATTTGAGTAGGAAGCATGCCTAAGTCGAGATTTCTTGTTTAAACACCCTCAAATATCATACCATTGATGTTGTAAAAATTTGAGAATAAAATGAGTTCATTAGCTAAGTCAAATCGTTCATGCAAAAAGGCTAATTTGAGCACCCGAGCCCTAGATATGTGCATGCATGATATGAGATAGATTCTAGCCCATATAGTCCTCATTGTATATGTTTATCATTCGGCCCTGAGTAGATTTCCATGTTGAGTATGTTGGTTCGAGTGTTTAGTAATCGTACGGGCCGTATAAGCCCTACCGAGTGACCATGCACGTGGACCCGGGGTCCACTAGTGTTTTAGGTGTTAATTGTACTTATTTTATCATATTATGATGTATGGTCATGCATGTTGCCGGAATTAGTCGCCGGAGGTCCGGCAAGGGCCGACCTTGGTCACTGGCCGCGCACATAGCGCGACAGTGCCCGGCCCAGCGCCAGTACGTGCCCGCGCCAGCGTGCGCATGGCACCCGCAGCCCCGTGCCCGCGACAGCGTGCCAGCAGCGTGATGAAGGATCGTGTGTTACGTCTAGCTCGACTTGCTCGAAACCCGCGCCGACGCCTTGGTCCCTTCGCAATAAGTTGCTAATACGCGCGCC